GTTGTTGTTGTTGTTGTTTAGTCGTTTAGTCGTGTCCGACTCTTCGTGACCCCATGGACCAGAGCACGCCAGGCACCTCTGTCCTCCACTACTTCCCGCAGTTTGGTCAAACTCATGCTGGTAACCTCAAAAACACTATCCAACCATCTCGTCCTCTGTCGCCCCCTTCTCCTTGTGCCCTCCATCTTTCCCAGCATCAGTGTCTTCTCTAGGGAGTCTTCTCTTCTCATGAGGTGGCCAAAGTACTGGAGCCTCAGCTTCACGATCTGTCTTTCCAGTGAGCACTCAGGGCTGATTTCCTTAAGAATGGATGCGTTTGATCTTCTTGCAGTCCATGGGACTCTCAAGAGTCTCCTCCAGCACCACAATTCAAAAGCATCAATTCTTCGGCGATCAGCCTTCTTTATGGTCCAGCTCTCACTTCCATACATCACTACTGGGAAAACCATAGCTTTAACTATACGGACCTTTGTTGGCAAGGTGACGTCTCTACTTCTCAAGATGCTGTCTAGGCCTGTCATTGCCCTTCTCCCAAGAAGCAGGCGTCTTTTAATTTCGTGGCTGCTGTCACCATCTGCAGTGATCATGGAGCCCAAGAAAGTAAAATCTCTCACTGCCTCCATTTCTTCCCCTTCTATTTGCCAGGAGGTGATGGGACCAGTGGCCATGATCTTCGTTTTTTTGATGTTGAGCTTCAGACCATATTTTGCGCTCTCCTCTTTCACCCTCATTAAAAGGTTCTTTAATTCCTCCTCACTTTCTGCCATCAAGGTTGTGTCATCTGCATATCTGAGGTTGTTGATATTTCTTCCGGCAATCTTAATTCCAGCTTGGGATTCTTCCAGCCCAGCCTTTCGCATGATGTATTCTGCATATAAATTAAATAAGCAGGGAGACAAAATACAGCCTTGTCGTACTCCTTTCCCAATTTTGAACCAATCAGTTGTTCCATATCCAGTTCTAACTGTAGCTTCTTGTCCCACATAGAGATTTCTCAGGAGACAGATGAGGTGATCAGGCACTCCCATTTCTTTAAGAAATTGCCATAGTTTGCTGTGGTCGACACAGTCAAAGGCTTTTGCATAGTCAATGAAGCAGAAGTAGATGTCTTTCTGGAACTCTCTAGCTTTCTCCATAATCCAGCGCATGTTTGCAATTTGGTCTCTGGTTCCTCTGCCTCTTCTAAATCCAGCTTGCACTTCTGGGAGTTCTCGATCCACAAACCAGTTACTCTCTGGTAAAACACTGAGTCCAGTCAGTTGTTAAAAGTAAACCAACCCCCCCCACAAAAACAAGTTTATTTTACAAACATTAACAAGTTTATGGTTTCTCAGATAATATTCCTGTCAGTATCTTAACTTTAGTTTCTTTACCAGCCCTATACCTTCCTCATACCTTCTGACTGATTATCTCAACTGTTTGACTGACTCCTCTTAACAAATTCTCTCACTCTCTCACACCAGACTAGCCCAACCCACAGACTTATCTTCTCTGTCTCATCTAACTCCAGACTGTCTTCTCAACTACTCTAACTCTTTCTCATAAAAAAACCTCTGTGCTTAAACCATATACACAGTTAACTCTGCCCCCTGGGTTCCCATTGGTTAGTCATTTTACAATTAGTTAACCCTTTCCCTATGAACCCAGTATGATGTCACACACAATGGAGGGCCAACACCACATGGAGTTCACATTTCTTTGAGTCTTTCAGGTAACCCCAAATCCTGTCTTAACACATAATGTCAAAGCAAGGTTGGAACCCCTCCTCCTCCTTCCTCCATCATGAGTGCCATTTCTTCCAGTTCATCAGAAACCACACAGTTTGTCATTGCATCTAAACCAGCAAACCATGGTTGTGCTATTCCAAATCAAAGCACATTCAGCAAAGTGCATTGACTAAATCATATACTGTATAGGTAGGGATTGCAGACCCTCCCACCTTTTCCTGGGGGTGGAAAATAGAAAATCTTTTTAAATCCAGGCCTTCTGACTCTTCCATCCAACTCTCCTGCAGAGTGGAGAGCCTCAGCATTAGTATAGAGAGGCTGAATAGGGTAACATTTCTTGCTTGACTTTTGCTTCTGCATGTATGTGAGGGGGGGGGATAGTTTTTCATGTCACACAGCAGGCTGTTTCAGGTCCAAAAAGCCATAAAACAACAACTCTAAAACACTCTCAAGCTGGCTTTGCAGCCATTCCATGCTGAATAGCGCAGCCAGGTGTAGAAACCATATATGCAACCTTTGTACTATGTTCTCTACAGAAGTCAGTTGACCTTTTACGCTAAGTGGGAAATCATTTGTGAAATCCCAATTACTTGGTTCTAAGCTATTTCAGCAGGTGAATGCCACGTGTTATCCCTGCTTTAGAAAGGGAGCACATTACGTGTATAGGGAGAAATTGCTGTCCTTTTTTGTACAAGAATCTTATTCCCCAAAGTAGAAAATTACAAAAGCAACTGGTGCAACACAGGTAAAATGAGAGATGCAACTTACTTTATCATAGCAGATCTTCAAAATGTTTGCTTTTTAAAACTGCTGTAAAGTTTTTTTGGGGGGGTTGTTCAAGCATAAAGGACAATGGGCAATTGACCTTCCCAGAATCATATCAGAGAGCTCTGCATTGTGTGTGTGTGTGTGCTACCATCTGGATGCAAAGTTGCCAAGATTGTAGGGAGAATTCTGGTGTCTTGCAGGATTTTTGTTAGGATGCAAAACCAGGTTGGCCTTGAGCATGCTTAGAGTTAAGCATGTTGGTTATATGAGGCTGATTTATTCCACATAAAGAGCCCTCTGCTTGTTTCCTAGCCTGTGTAGAATTGAATCAATCGGTGAAGCCAATGCTGTGGCCTTTCACCTCTTGACTGGTTCCAAGGATGGCTTCTATTAGAAATGAGTTGCCAACTAGGGATTCCGATGTATTGTAAAGAAGAATGCGCACTGTGTATCTGAGCATATGTATCCTTCCACACAAGTGCACAGGCTGAAGTCAGTGTAGAAAATGTCATTCCATGCTGCATCAAAATCTTATCTGCTCCTTTCAGATGTATTGCCAGTAGGTTATCGAGTTGGCATTTTTGCCTAAGGACAAAAGTAGGCTCTAAGCACCTAAGAAGGAGGATCAGCTTTCTGAAGAAATAAAATAGGGTATTTAGCAAAAGCCAACATATAGATTTAAGTTCATAAGTATAATAAAACAGTCATTTGGACTGTCATTTGGATCAAGGACTGTTTCTAAAATGTATAATTAAGCAAGAAGAGCATAATATGATTAACTCCTGTGTATCATTAATAATAAAAAATGAAACCTACTATAATGAAAGACATCAAAGATTATAATCCTGCATGATAGTGTTAGAAATCAGAACCAAATAGATGTGGCATTAAGCACATCATTAGAAAAATATAGCAAGTTTTTTTTTGGGGGGGGGGGTTTAAAGCATGCATCCCACCTCCAGGAACATTTTCAATACATTTTATCCCCGCTCAAATATAGTAGTAGCTTTATCAAGATGACTTTTGTTAAGGTTACATGTGGAGAAGGAAGGTTTAAATGTCTCATCTCTTTGCATATGGTGGTCCTGATGAAATCCATATACCCTGCTCTTGCTTTCTAAATAAGTAAGTAAATCCTGATATGGTTTATAATAATGCATTGAATGTCACATCTATTTTGGTCCTCAGTGGTTAAGTTTGTACTTCAACTGTAAATAATTTGCTCCACTAGATTAATAAGCTGCCTAGATGTTGCTTGAATGAAGAGAAAAGGTAGGGGACTTAATGAAATCCAAAAGCCCTGTAATGGGACTCCTTTCAATTTTAGCCCAATGGTGTCCCCTATTAGTCTTCTGAAAGCAAGTTTAAAGGTTTGTTGTCACAACAGATAAGGGAACCAAACACTTCCTTCTTCCGCTCCTCCTGTAATTCAAGCACTCCAAATACTAGGCTTTCTGGTACAGTGCTCTCTGTGTGTCTTATCAAAGCTCTGCCTGAGCTCTACTGAATCATCAATGGTTATAAAGTATTTATATCTGAGGTTTAATGGTTTGGAAACATCATTTCATGATTTAGTGTATTTTATATTGTTGTTTTATTTGGCCATTCGTTATAAACTGCCCTGGGGTCCTAAGGACTGGGAAACAGTTTAGAAATGAAGGTTTCTGTAGAAATAATGGGCATGCTTCACTTGTTAAAAGCAATGGAAAACATGTGCAAGTCAAGAGACCAGATTTCATGGCTAGTGCTTCATAGTATTCGTGACTTTGGACCCATGTCTCAAACCAATACCCCAGCGTATAGTGTGGGTGACGACATATGAGCAATCTTGCTGATGCTAAGTAAGTCTGAGTCTGGTCAATGCCTGGATAGTTGACGACATGGGAACCACATGCATGATATCAGAGGTGCCAAGTTGCGTGCAAGATTGAGGGGGCCTGTCGTGCATGTGACATTATTAGGAGAAGGCTGAGTGCGGAATCCGGCATGGCTTCAATGGCCAGCAGGTCCTCTCTCATGCTCAGGAGGAGCCGGCCATGCTCTGCTCTACCCTCGGCCTCCTCTGACACTTCAACACTGAGGGGTCTGGCCCCCTGCCAACAGATATGGAGGGGGCAAAGACAGCTCGGCCCCATAGAGTTGGCACTCCTATATGGCATATAAATGTAGGAAAATAAAAAGGAATAAATCTTATTCAGCCTAATGCCATAGTCATGAAACAAATAGTTCCCTCCCTCCCACCCTTCCATTCCTATCCAGTAAGAAAACTTAATTCTGATCAATGTAATATATGTGGTTCTGTTGTGGTTGCTCTTTTTCTCCCTTTGTTTGATCATAGCTTTACGTAATGCATCTCACTTGTCAATATTTTGAACAGCTGTAGCCATAATTTGTGAATGTGGCGCATAGCAATTGTCTGACATATGAGGAAACTCGTTACTGCCTTTTGAAAACCTGCATTGCACTTGTGTAACGCAAAACCTGTCATCACTGTTTGTGTTTCAGGCACAATATTGGTAGACAATATGTTGATCAAAGGTACAGCAAGAGGACCTGATCCCACCATTGAACTGACATTAAAGGACAATGTAGACTACTGGGTTATCTTAGATCCTATCAACCAGAGGCTTTATCTAAACAGTACTGGACGAATTCTCGACCGAGATGTAAGTTGGTGTCTCTTCTTCCCCCTCACTCCAGTTTCCGTTTTGTATTAAAAACTGCTGATTTCAGTGGAAAAATAAGCATTTTCACAACTAATAAAGGTGGGAAATGTGAAGTGTTTGTTTACTCAGTGTAAGTCTCATTCAGCCCAGCTCTGTATGCTTCAGATTGCAGCCAAAGGATGTTTGTCAAAAAGCGAAGATGACTTAAGAAATAAAAATGCTGTTAGTATATTTTATAGTTTTTGGATGTTCTATCCAAAATAGTGGCAGGGTTTTTTTAAAGGACATTTTGTATCTGTATGTTGGTTGATATTCATACTGATGCAAGGCTGTGTGTATTTTTTTGTTCAAGCATACAAACCAGAGCAGTTTGAATAACAACCCTTGGCCCTCCATGTTGCTGAACCACAGCTCCTGTCATCCCTGTTGATTGGCTATGCTGGTAGGGGCTGATGGGAGTTGGAGTCCACAAACATCTGGAGAGCCACAGGCAGGCCATCCCTGATCTAAAGGCTGCACCAGGTAAACCAGAAGTGATGGGATTTCAAACAATAAATATGATATATGGTTAACACTCTATAATCCAGACCTACTGTGAGCCCCAAACTCAGCACAACCCATTAGACATATATTGAAGACCACTAGGAGTTTGATATGCCTCCTAGTCTTGCTCTCTACTGCAGACATAGAAAAGGGAACAGTCAATTACTTGACAAACTGGGTGGTAGCTATGTTTGGCTTGCCCAAAATAAAATAAAATGATCTTGGTAGAATCAGCACAGCTGCATTGGACTCCTAGAGCAGGCAGTCAAACCCAATTTGTTTGCATGATGTATAACCCATGATGTGCAATGTTTGCTGCTTGTTTCTGGGAGGTTTCTGCAGAAATCTTTAATGCAGCACCTTTTGCTATTTGAACACAGGATTACATTAAAACTTGTTCCACTTCAGTAATAACCTGGAAAAGACCCAGTTTCTTCCTTACAGATAGAACCAGTGTTAACTGCAGTAGATATTTGTCTTGGTGTTCTAGGAATGGGCTTACAGGATAGAGATAGATGATAGATAGATAGATTAGATATAGATAGATGATAGATAGATAGATAGATAGATAGATAGATAGATAGATAGATGATAGATGATAGATAGATAGATAGAGATAGATAGATAGATAGATAGATAGATGATAGATAGATGATAGATATAGATGATAGATAGATAGATAGATAGATAGATAGATAGATAGATATGGATAATGTGTGCATATCAGCTTACCTATATGCACATTGATGCAGCCTAGAAATAAATAAAACTAGGCACTTATCCACAGCAGTGCTCTACGCGTTCAATAAATTTATCTTATTTTGTGGGTATGTGTGTTTTAAGGTTCCTTTAGCAGTAAAGGGATAAAAAAGAATCTGCTGGCAGTTCAGCCTAGTCGATTTCAGCACTCTACCATCTTGTTAGGGGAAATGGCTATAAATTAGAAGCTGGAGTGGGCATGCATTTTTCCCTACCAGCAGGCTGTCCTGCCCTCACCAATTATGATGTAAAATGAAGCCTCACACGTTTTCATGCTTCCTCCCTCTCCCCATCCATGCGATTCACAAAAGAGACAATCTTCCTGAATTATATAATGCTATTGTGAGATGAATATTTGTGAACTCCTCGTTTCTTTAGGCAAAAGAACTTATTTAGATTCAGAATGTATCTTTTTTAGTCTGCTGTGTGCTAGTAAGTGGGCAGATGTATTCAGTTGATTTAGCCAGCTGACAACGTAGTCCATACAATTTGCTTTTCTGCAGAAGCAGCTATGATTTGAATGTGCACACCGTAGGCGGAGTGCCTACTGAGTAAGCCAAGAGGTTTTCTTCCCTCTGGCCAAGCCTGCAGCCTCTTTCTGCTGCCAATCACTTTCTTCATTTCTTTACACTTTCTTCAGATTTTGGGGCTCCAGGGCATACACCATATTCTTGGGTGCATCTGATCTGGTGAAGCCCTGAAGCAACTAAGTTTTGAAGTTAACAGCCAAACACCTGGTCCTTTCTTTTATTAACTTACTTTCAAAAGGTGGTTTTTAAAAGACAGGTTTATAAGGATTCCAGTGTTCATTTTCAATTCAGGAGCGAATTTGTGCATTTCTGTTTGATTTCAACAGATTGAGCTCCTTATTCAGAGACAGAGAGCGCAAACATCTTCACTGTGTTTAAAGAAGCATTTGGGCAGGATTAAATGAAGTGGAATTAAGTGATCATACAAGAAGGAAATCTTCAGTCAATATGTAATGTTTTGCTTTAAAGAGTGTAATATAATAGGACGTGCCCTCTTACAAATTTGGTAACTGGTTAAATAATAGGAAGGTGAAAACAGGTGTAAATTGGTGGTTTTCACAAAACAGGAAAATAAGAAGTGGGGTCCCCCAATGATGCTATCGGGACCTGCACTATTTAATTTTCATAAATGTTCTGGAGTCAAGGAAGAGCAGTAAGAGCACCAATTTATGGATTACACCAAATTGTTTTGGGTGGTGCTCAAGCTGCAAAGGAGTTCTGAAAGGAGCGTCAGATTGGGATAATGGGCAAAAGCAGCTAATGAGATTCTGTATAAGCAATGACAGTGATCCACCAGCCCCTAAATGCCAACTTCACTTCTCCACTTGTGGAATCTGAATTGACTGTGACTAAAGCCTAAGGAATGTTTGGCTCACATGTTTCGCAATGATGTGTTCAATGGGGAATGGAACTGTTCTCTTCACCCCACCACTGACATCTCATCAGCTTTCTTCAACAACTGTGGGTTGCATGAAGCTGCCTTGTAAAGGAATTGCAGTGCATGGGACCCTGCCCGCATTGAAGAGTTCTGTGTGACCAAGGAACCCTTACATGTGAGCAGGGGTTCCTTTACAGACGCTTACTTGCAACATGTGTTTGCTTAAGGAAGCTGGTGTGTTGTTGGGGCAGGGCTCAAAAGACTAATAATAGGAGCAGAGGAAGCTGCCTTGTACCTATTTGAACCATTGGTCCATCTAACTCACTATAATCTACACCAGGGTTTTCCAAACTTGGGTCTCCAGCTGCTTTTGGACTACCATTCCCATCATTCCTGACCACTGGTCCTGCTAGCTTAGGGATGATGGGAGTTGTAGTACAACAATAGCTGGAGACCAAAGTTTGGGAAACCCTGATCGATCTACACCATGGTAAGCCAATGTGATACCCTCAAGTTGTTATGGAACTGTAACTCTCAGGACCCCCAGTCATTATGGTCAGCAGGTAAAGTCCAATAACACGTGGACAACCCCATGTTCTCTTTCCCCAACTTAGGCTTCAATTCTGACACGAGTTACTTGGAGTTGAGTCCCGCTGAACTCAATAGGATTTAACTTCTGAGTAGATTTGATTAGGGTTGCACTTTTATTTTATATGAAACAGAAATAACACTCCACATATCCAGGTGCTTTGTAGAAGTAACTATGCATTTATTTTTCTCCCTTCTTTACAGCCACCAATGTCAATTCAGTCTATTGTGGTTCAAGTCCAGTGCATTAACCGAAAAGTAGGAACTGTCATCTATCATGAAGTTCGGATTGTAGTGAGGGACAGAAATGATAACTCTCCCCAGTTTCAGCAGCAGCAGTACTATGTAGCAGTCAATGAGGTCAGTTTTAGTATTGGTACTGTTATCATTTTTCCCCTAACTACTCATGTACTTTTTGATATCATCTCATCAATGTACTAAAGCACTTAATGTTAATTTGCTTTTGGGTTTTCCAGTTGATTTTGAGCCTTTTGTGTGTTTATATTAAGAACTTGCCTTGAACTGAATCACTTGAGAGAAAATCATACTTGTATTAATTAAACAAACGCAACCCATTCAGGGGTGCATATGAGTAAGCAAAGGAGACACAAACTATTTTAGCATACTGCCGTAAGAAGTTAACACACACACACACACACACACACACACACACTTATATTCTGAACATTATTCTTCCATAATAGAAATGGTATAATACTATGCAAAGGAACAACTAAGCAACCTTAATTTTCAGTTTTAAAAAGTTATCTCTTGACAGAATTCCTCACCCCCTGGTTGTTCTTTATTCCGCACTTCAATGGCAATTTTAGCACAATGATCTACTTTCTGGCAATTCCAGTCTTTGGATTTTCCAATCATTTAGTTTTATTCTGTATCAACCAGTTCCAAGTTAGGACCTTATTGCTAGATTAGTTTGCAGACAAGAAACAAAGGCAGACAATGATTTTTGGGTCTAATTTTAGTCATAGCCTTTTAAGTCAATAAGCTTTTATTGACTTAAAATTAGCTTTTGGTTCTGTATGTTTCCCTGTTGTCTTTGGAGTAAACTAGAGCAGTACCATTTCTTGATAGAAAACCATTGGTTTTGATCTGTGTCCTGTATGCTGAACTTGTAATAATTGTGGTTATCTTTCTGTGGAGATTGTGTCTTCTCATACAGTTAGGCAAGGATGTGTCCTTGCCTTCATTATTTTGAATTTGTAACTGGTAAATTTCTCCTCATTTTTGGAAATAATATCTTCTCATCCTCCTAAGATATCTATTGCATGCAGATGATGCAGTTTTAATTTTGAAGACATAATTGGGTAATAAATGTTTCCTTTTGGGGTTTAATTATTTTTAATTGAAATTCTTAACCATTAACCATCCAAAATCCAGAATTATAATATTTTCTAATATTATATTTCTTTGGGTCCCACATAGTCAAATGTTCAATCAAGTTGGTTTACAGAAATACCTTGAGCATTTGGTGTCTTGAATCTGCCAACTTGAGAACTCAGAGAAAAACTGAAGGGGCCAAGGTGAAGCAGAATGTGAATACAGTTACTCAATTTTTCTCAACAAAGGGTGGAGAATTTGTTTCACTCTTGTGGACTCTGCTTCATTGGAGGTTTTTAAGCAGAGATTGGATGGTCACCTGTCGTGGATGCTTTAGCTGAGATTCCGTACTGTAATTTCCCCATTTTATTTTTGCCACTTGAAAACAACAAATCCAACTGTGACCCATCAAAATAAGCATTTCCAGATATTTAACCTGTTCAGTCTCTTGAACTGTTGAATGTGTGTACACTGGGCTTATGGGTAAAGTTCATTCTGTTTAAAAGACTTTGGGACCAATCTAATAAAGGCTCCAAAGAGCAATGCCCCACCCGGCTCCAATTTATACCACCCCATAGGTAGAATCAAGCTGGAATTCAAAGGGACTTTGTCTTGGATCTCAGTCAGCTTGCAATAAATCCAACTCTAAAATTATTTTCTATTACTAGCTAGAATTGGATCCCACCAGTCCAAAATAATTTATATAGATGTCAGGTGACATGAAATCCTCATCTGATCTTTTCTTGCTGCTCTTCTCCAGATCTTCCTGGAATACCATTTAGCCGTGTCAGATAGGTCAACAATGATGGCAATTGTCGAAAATATGATCCAGTACAACAGAATAGTTCAATACTTTAGACCAATTTTATGCCAAATATATTGATTTCCTCCTTTAATAAGTTTCCAAAAATGAGCTGAATCTTCCCCTCCAGCTGCTCTATTAATTTCCTCCTGCACCTGTCTGATATATATCACTCCCTTTCTATATAGATTTCTTTTCATTCCTACGTCGCTGAGCCCAAATCCAAAAAAATTCAGAACATTTTTTAGCACTGCTTGATTATAAGAACTGCTATTTCAAAGCATTTAATGTTCATTATTCTGTACATAGGTTTATTGCCTTTTAAGTGGCACAAATTATTGTAAACACCATTATTGTTGTTCCAAATTTCTTCTTAATGTAAGTTTATTGGCTTTTTTTGCGTCTTGAAGCTTTATAATTATTTGCTATTGTTTTGAGTTGAAATATTTTTGAGCTGTTTAGAGCACTGGGGTGGGTAGGTTTAAAATTCAAACAACTGCACAAACATTTCCCCCTATAATTGATTTTGTTAAGTGCATATAAGTTCGATATAATTATAGAATACATTTGTTGTGGTTTATTTACAGCAATTGTAATCTACAGTCCTCTGATTTTTGCATTTAACAATGTTTTAAATTAATATCAGGCACGATAAGTTCTCGTGTGTGGGGTGGGTGTGGTGACTTTCTTTAGTGTGAGAAAGGTTGCATCCACAAGATGAATGTACTTGCTTTAATTTTTAATTTTTATAAAGGACCTCTTTACACTGGGCTGTGTGGGTATGGACTGAGTGGAAGCATCCATTCCTCTACTCAATTCTGTCAGCTTAGCCAATCTTGTGCAGGCTGCCACCAATGGAGTGAAACAAGACAGAGCTTCACCTCCATCAACACAGAACTTCCCTTTTCACCCTCTTAGTGGCAGACAGAAGGCCATTCAGTGGTATCCCCCATTGCAGAGCCCAGTGGAAATTCCCCCAAACAGGGTGTTCTGCAGACAGAGTGGGGCTGAGCTGACTCAGGATCTGCTAGATCACAAGCTGCTCTCAGAGCTGGCACTACTATTTGTATGGTCTGTGGAGGCTTTTCAGGGTAACAGCTGGATTTTTGCACTGTTAAGTGATGTGATAGAACCCAGTTCTTTCACATAAGACAATGCTCATGCCTTTGTATTCCTCCTTCAATTGGCCAAATGGTGATTAACTTCCTCTGTTGACTTCTCCTCTGCAGGCGTCTGTGGCTTGTGGCTGGTTCAGTATAAATCTTTCATAAGTTCTGTTACTTGATCAGGTGCGGCTATTAAGAGTGTCTTTGAGTTGCTGTTGAAAAGTCACACAAAATGGCAAGCAGCCTTGTGATAAATCAGTAGCATAATTAATTGTGTGGTTTAATTAGCTGAAATTAAGGATTGTAAAAACTAGCTTATGGTCTGCAGCAGTAAAAACTTTCAAACTGTCTCCTTCTGCTTGCTTGCTTGCTTGCTTGCTTGCACACCCACCCATCCCTCTTTTGGTATAGCCGTCTGTTGAAAGAAAAGATCTCTCAATAACATGCTCCATAGATCTGAGGAACACTTTATAGCCTTGGAGGAAATTAGGACAAGAAAATAAATTGGTGATTTCAGTAAATGACCCCTTTCCTTGCTTATCAAGGTGCAGTTCTTACAAACTTTGGAGGTTTCAAATGTTACTGAATTTCACAACTAACCCAAATTCTCAGAGGACCCCTGACTTGTACAGGGGTAGCTGCTGAGCTTAGGAATGCAGAGCTCTAGTGTTTTGGATAGGTTTAATTATAAGGCAGAGATGTGAAACTTGTGGTCTTCCATGTGTTGTTGGACTCCATCTTTCACCATTCCTAACCATTGACCATTACACGAGTTGAATTCAATTTACACAACAATGCTGTCCTGCTACCTCTTCCCCACTGCAGCCCCCTGTGCCTTCAATAAGCCTCTTGTGTGCACCGGGGACCTGCAGGAAAGGACTGGGACATGGCATGCTGAGAGGCTGCAGTGAGGTGTGGGGAGTGATCAGACGCAGCCAGTTTCTGCAAGTCAGAGCTACACTAGCTCAAGCTGTCTCTGCCTCATTTTTACTTATTTCTTCGTCCCTCAGCTTTCTGTGAGTGCAGGAGGCTACAGTGGGGAGGAAAGAGCCAGACAACCGATTTTGCCTTTAGCCTCACCCACTATTAGCATGTAGCCCCTGGAAAGGTTACCCAGAAGAGGATGCAGTCCTTGGGCTGAAGAAAGTTCCCCACTCCTCAGCAATGATGCAATTGGCATAAACAGCCCGGCAATATAGCCTTTCTCTGTCTGATCATTGACATTCCCAATGAGCAGTGTTGGAGAATGTAATTTTAACTAAAAGCCTGTGATAACCACGATACCTGAAATTTAATCAGGCTACATACGTACCGAATATGAGCAAAGTTGTCTCTTCTTTTCTCATACCTCCAACCCATGGTTGCATCTTTATATATTAACTGGCATATTGCCATATGCCTATTATATTACAGTATATGTTGTGTATTTCACATTGTTTTAACCTACACAGATCAATTGTATTTCCAATGTTATTATTAAACTCTTTCCTGTTCCTGTTTTGCTGAATTCCTTCTACTATTGCTTAGAAGATCTATTAGAAGATCTTTATATAAGACAACGAAACCTTCTGTTTTCCAGACTCTATTTTTTCCTCACATGGTGTGAGATTCCTTACTTCTGCTCCTCTTACAAGAGTTTGAGTATTTGCAAATACTGAAAAAGGCAAGTGAAGACTAGAATTTTTATTTATTTGCTTTCTTTTTTTAGTATATGAAATTATAACCCCTTGAGAGATGAAGTTTTAAAATCCCATATAGAATATTCTCTCCCATTTGTTTCGCTCTTGCGCAGTGCTATTGCGCAGTGGAGCTGAGAGGGATATTTTAGGTGCTAAAGGTTGCGTATGCTTTAGGATTTGAAGGCACATGAGAGCACCATCGTGCTGAAACTAAGTAGCTGTGGCCAGTGCCTGGATAGGTGACAGCTTGGTAGCAATAAGTATCCTACTTTTCTTCCATGATGGAAGAAAGGTGGGATATAAAAGTATAAAAAACCCTAGGACTACCACATCTGCTCTTCCTGCTCGCCAACCCTGCCATACACCCATCTTCCCCAACACCTGACCAACTGCTCCTCCCTTTACACCTTACTTACTCCCTTGCCTATCCCATCA